GGAAAATGGGCCCATTTCTTTTTCAAAAAAAGGGCATGCATAGGCTTTAGGAGGCTTATAGAGTGCCCTTGGGGGCTAGGGGGGCAAAATTGAGCAAAAAATGACCTGTTTTTCACTCATTTCTGCCCTCCACAGCCTCCAGGAGCACTCTGGAAGCCTCCTAAAGGCTATGCACAGCCATTTTTTCAAAGGGGGCGGGGTTTCAGGAGGCAAAAAATGCTGTATTCCGTGTATAAGACGCGCCCAGATTTTCAGCCTCTTTTTTGAGGGAAAAAGGTGAGTCTTATAGTCCGAAAAATATGGTATATATAAGAAATGTCTTTATATACAATACCAAATAGCAGAACACTAAAGAAATATTCATAGAAGCAAGTCATTACAGAGTAGAGAGATACAGAGGCCTACATTGTACAGAAGCTGAAGGAAGTTACAGAAGCCAAACCAACTTTTATATACAGTTCAGCAAGTCTAAGCCACTCCCAGACTTCAAACTGTCTCTTATGACCCCATACAAATAAATACTATGTTTCAGTTTCCAAGCAGTCCCCATTGGCTGATCTGTTACCATGTCTATTCCAGTCTATGAGGATACTCTGACAGAGTATTAATGGATGCCGTCCTAAGGCGCCACATCCCAAATAGATTGCTATACATTTCAACCATTACTTTCAATGACGAATATATCTACTACACTTCCTAACTCATTGATTTGAAATGTCCTTAATAAAAGCATACAGTGTTTACTGGTTTGGTACATTTAGCAGTCTATCATTGCTCAGGCAAAATATTGGTAAAATCACCTAATGCATAGTGAGTTAATTCAAGATAAAGATTTCAACTCCATTCTTCAGATCACTGGTCTGCTTCTAGTAAACAACTAGAAAGTGTAATCAACTTTTTTCTCTCAAGGACAAAAAGGCTGATAGCAGCAACAGCATGCTTTAACCAAATTATACCTCTGACTCTACCTATTTTAAGACATCCTCAAGCAGGTTGTGTATTGAAACAAGCAAGGTGCATTTATGAACAAGCTTCCACTAGGTGGCTCTTGAGGATTAAAGAATCATATCCTTTGCAATCCTCTGATAGGCTGATTTCCTTTTGTCTGTTCAAAAGAAGCAAACACAAATATCTTCTGGTAGGAAGTGAGTTTTTGCCCTGGCACAATTTAAGTGCTGATTTTTCCCAACAAGGTCTTTCTAAATTAAGATCAAGAATCATGGTATGAAGCGGCAACTGATGTTCTCCAATGTTGTGTTGTGCGTGTGTCTAAATGTGCTTACGAAAAAGCAGCATCTACTTAATGTTAGATGTCATTGCCTTACTTTTTCCACAGAAAGTCCCAAGGTTTCAAATAAAAAAGTAGAAGACAGAAACAAGCGTAAGAAATTGGTGAATAGATTTGAATTTTGGAAACCAGAAGAAGCAAGGAGCATCTAATCCAGTTTTTTTCAACTCAGCATGCTGGGGAATTCTGGGAGTTGAAGTCCACAAATCTTAAAGTTGCCAAGGTTGAGAAAGACTATTCTAGTCTCAGAAGCTTGGAAGGATGTCAATTTCGAAGCAGGGGAGAGAAGCATTGCCCTAGACTTTCCTTCTTATTACGTTGCCTGAATTAATGTAGGCATTTCCCAGTCTGGCACTCTTAGAGTTGCAATCTCAACCCTCCAATGCAAAGTTTCTCTTTGTAAGTCAACCTTATAATGGGAGCATTTACCAATTATAGGTAGTTCTCAACTTATGACCAGTATCTTAGTAACTGTTCACTCAATCAATCCAACAAAGGGGACTCACGACCCAGATTTGAAGTTCCAAGGTCTATCCCCCTCCGCAGTCACATGATCGAACTTTGAGCACTCAACAACAAGTGACTTTTATGACAGTTTTGCACTTCCAGTTTCCAGCAAAACCATACCCATAGCAAGACATTGATTCACTTAAAGGTTGTTCACTTAACAACCATAGAAAAAAGCATAGTAAAATCAGGTTGATCACATGCTATATTATGACATATAACCCCAATGGGAAGGTTCCATTACAGTCATATGTCTAGAACTACCTGTACCCATAAAAGAGGTAAGATTCTCCACTGAATGTGTCCAGGCTGAGGTTAGATTAACTGTCCATTGGAGTTGCCTTAATTTGGATTCTTGCACTGAATAATGGGTATTGACTTAATAGCCTTGGAGCCTCCCTATTAAACATTTCCATGAAGTAGCTAACCATTGAACCACAAGTTAGCTAATTTACATTTTAGCTTAGAGATTTGTACAAATCCAGCCTGT